GCCCTGCCTCTCTTCATCTGCCCCAGCTTACTTGGCGTGTCAACCACAGGTAAGCAGGAAAGTGTCTCTGATGTTGAAACTTTCCCGAATTAAAAGCGTAAACGGAAGAAAACGGTTTCATTTGATATCTTTTAATCTCCCGTGAATTTTTCCGTGTGCGAACATCTTAATCACTGCTTTTTCACCAAAGCTTGCTGTCAGAAATCCTGCATCTCTGTCAGCTTATCTCACCTTCGAACTCGTCAAACCTGTGTGAAATCTGCTGAACAGCGTATGAAAGCAAATACCGCATTATTATGACAATATACACAACAGGTCTGCTCACCCTCAGGGAAATAATCACGTTTGTTCTCTCTCTCTCTGTCTGTCTTCTCCCTCATAAAAAGTAAAACACCGTTCGGCAGATGTTTTCCAGATATTGTCAGCTGCGTGGGTGTGAGCTTTATATTTCTTAATCTGTGAGGCGCTTTATATAATGCTTTAATCGTTTCTTTTCTTTAGTCCCTCAGGTGACATATCACAATTGTAAATCATTTCATGGCGATCTGGTTTTAAAAGTGGTTCCAGCTTGCTGACCTGGGGCAATGTCTCCTATATCTTTTCTGAAGCTTTATTTCAAGAGTTTTCTGAAGCTTTATATGGTACAAAATTAAAAGAGTGGTTACATCGAGCAGTGGTTCCCAAACCTTTTCATCTGATCAGCTCCAAAGGCTTTTCAGTACTTAAGAATCCATCAACAGCAATGTAGCCCCTCCAATATGCTCATTTAACCCATCGTAAGCATGATCTGGACCACTTTCTGCTTACCATTGGTCAATTATGGCTAGTGAACTCTCTCAGACATTTTTCTATAGTTATTGACTTACTATGTCACCCGTTTGCTCCCTGTTTGATGTTACTCCTGCATTTGACAGCTGTTCATACCGTTTAAAGCCCACAATTGTTTATCCATGCTTTTGATTAGTAATGTAAACTTTTCTTGACATTTCTAGACTTTTTAAGCAGTTTGAATAAATTTTATGTTCATTTTTAACTCTTTTAGACTTCATCATTTGATCGATGCAATGCAATACAATGCATTCATAACATATTCTCATTTTTGCATTTCTTTCAGTTCAGGTCAGTTACATTTTGCTAATATAGGACAAACTCACAACACCAGTCAATTCAAAGGTCGTTATAACATAATGCGAAGATCCTATGATAACACAGAGTAAACCGCAACAATCAGACGAGCCCCTGTGAGCAAGCACTATGAACAAGAAACAGCGGGAAGGAAAAACTCTCTTTTAACAGGAAGAAACTTGTTGTGCATACAGACAGGCTGTGAAAAGAGGTGAGTGAAGAAGAAATAGTCAGTGAGAGTCATGGGAAGCCCCAGCAGCTTCGACCTATTAGCATACGGCAAGTTCAGGGTCACCTGATTCAGCCCTAACATTATTCCTTATCAAAAAGGAAAGCTTTAATTCTAATCTTAAAGGTAGAGAGGGTGTCTGTCTCCCATATCCAAACTGGTAGCTCGTTCCTCAGATGAGGGGCCTGAAAGCTTCACCCTCTATTCTACTTTAAGAAACTCTAGGAACCACAAGTAAGCCTGCAGACTGAGAGTGAAGTCCTCTAATCATGTGATATGGTACTATGAAGTCTTTAAGATAATATGGGGCCTGATAATTCAAGACCTTGTATGTGAGAAGAAGAATTTTAAGGACTTGATTCTGGATTTAACAAGGAGACAATGGAAATTAGAAGAAAAGAAGCTTATATGGGAGAAATATGCGCTTCTTTTCTAGTCCCTGTCGGTACTCTTGCAGCAGCATTCTGGATCAACTGAAGCATTTTAGAACAACATAGTCTACAGCCTACAATTAAGAACTAGTTTTTCAGCATCACTCTGAGACAGGATGCTTCTGATTTTAGCGATAATATGTAAATGTAGGAAAGCAGTCCTACATATTTGTATAAAATGAGCATTGAAGGACATATCCTGGCCAAGGTAATACCATCCACAGTATCATGTTAGACACCATGTTTCTAAGATTTTGGGGGCCGAGTGCAATAACCTCAGATTATCTGAAATTAGAAGCAGGAAATTAGAGTTCATCCAGGACTTTATATCGTTAAGACATTCCTGCAATTGAACTCATTAGTGCGTGTCATCCGGCATCTACATAGCAGTGAAAATGTATGCTATGCCTTCGAATGATACTGACTAAAGGAAGCATGTATAACGTGAACAGAATAGGTCCTAGCACGGAACTCTGTGGAACTCCATAATTAGCCTTAGTGTGTGAAGAGGCCTCTCCAGTTATTTTAACAAATTAGAAACTAGATATAATTCAAACTGCAGCAGCGCAGTACCTTTAATACCTACAGTGTGTTCTAATATCTGTAGTAAGATATTGTGGTAAACAGTATCAAACGCTGCACTGCGGTCTAGCACTACAAGAACAGAAAGGAGTCCACTGTCAGAGGTCGTGAAAAGATCATTTGTAACCTTCACTAAAGCTGTTTCTGTACTGTGAGGAATTCTGAAACCTGACTAAAACTCTTCAAATAAATCATTCCTCTGCAGACAATCCATTAGCTGTTTCACAACTACTTTTTCAAGAATTTTAGAAATAAAAGGACGGTTGGAGATTGACCGGTAATTATCGAAAACAGTTGAGTCAGTTTTTGAGTAATGGTTTATGGTAACTTCACCTTAAAGGCCTGTTGTACGTACATTAATATTAATCTTAAATTGATCATATTTAAGATTGCCGCATTATTAAATGGTAAGACCTTTTTGTGCAAGCTTGTAGGAATGGAGCCTATTAGACACATTGATGGTTTAGAGGAAGTACAGCTATATTTCCTCAGTGTACCCAGCGATTCACGTTTTGTTTATTCAGACATGTAGAGAAACTTCCTGTCAACCACCGCACTCAGTTTGGGTAAATCAGAGCTTTCATTATGAAGTTATGGGAGGTCGGGTGTAGCATGTCCCATACAACTTGGCTTTATTTTGAAGTTTTTTCATGTATTGATTGTGCAATAATATCTATATACTTGACCTCTTTTCAGTAGATTATTTTTATACAAAAATATTTTTTGTATAATGGGGGGGGGGGGTCATCTATCCCATAATACCCCAAATATCCCATAATACTAGCTAATAATTTGATTACATTTTTAATGTCTGTTTTTTCAGACATTAAAAATCAAAAAAAGAAAAAAAAATCAAACACCCAAGTCTCTCTCCCATCTTTTATTATTCATGTATAATCTCAGATTAATAATAGATCATCCAAGACCACACAAACCCAGACCTTGAACTTTCTAATTGCACAACTATGTCTGTCAGAAAAAATTAATCCAGCCATACCTCTGCATGCTGTGTGGCTGCGTGCACAGATGAGTGCATGTTTATCCACCGTGTGCACTTACGGGCCAAAATGCAGGCCTCAGACTGCAATGCTCTGATTATTCGCCCACTCAAATCAATCGAGCCATCTCCTATTCATATTTGATATGCCTTTAGGCAGTGGGATAAAGTTTAAAAGAAAAATCTAGCCATGCACTTGGAGGAAATCTGGTCAGCCTATTGGCTCGTTTGAAGATTTTTACTTGAGAAGCTTCACTCTGAGATTGTGCTTGAAGAGCATCTCTCAAAGGGACTCGTCATACAGCACTCTGAGGTAAAAAACAAACAAACAAAACATCCATCATAAGCGATCTAGGTTGTTCAGTTGCTTAAACAGTTATGAGAGGAGCTCAGTGTCACAAGTTGAGCTGAAGTCGACCTGCTCTGCCCAGCAGTGAAACGTCCCACCTGAGAGAACCTGCTTGCTTGCTTACTTCAAAGGTGAGGTTGGCGGCTCGGGGCTCTCTGAGCGTTAAAGGCACTGGCATCAGGCATCAGGAAATTCCCCTGTCACCAGATTCAACCTCATTCAGTCTGAACAAAAAGTGCACTCCTTTCAAGCAGCGTAACCTCTTATTTCCTTTATAGATTTATTTTAAAGGAGCTTCAGTTTTGAAGTCTTTTCAAAACTGAAGCTTTTTATTCGCCTTCAAATGTGTGGTTGCTGCATATAAAATGCATTTTCGTTTGAAAAGAATAAACACTGTGAGTCTCTCTGCCATGTAGCTGTAATGCGCACAGCTCCACTAAATCTTGCTTTAAATGAGCATGCCTGTTCCTGTTCTCCTTTAGTCTGTTCATCCTGGGGTTTAAAATATTCAGTATTTTCGCAGGCCTGGATGTTGTACGATTTTGAGGCAAGTGAGGCATAGAAAATCCTTGTGAGTCAGTGATTTCAATCAATGTTGAGTGAAAACGACAAAGTGATTGTTCCTCTTTTCGCCTCTTTTGTGTCGGAGGTTAAAAGATAAGAGTTTGGAAGAATCGGTAGATTAATAAGGCGACTGTTTATAAGCTCACCTAACCAGTTGTGAGAGGTATTTTCACAGTATTAAACTGATTCTATCTGTGGAAATAGTCTCTATGACAGGGATACCACCTGTTTCTTAAATGTGCTGTAATATTTCCAGGGAGCGTTTTTGTTTATCAGATTAAACCCTTTAATCTATTGTTTATGTAGCAGTACAGAAACTTTGACAGGGTGCTTCCCGACTCTCATTTTTCCCAGGATCATAGCTGCCACATGTGATATCTTTTCTGCCAAAGCTCGTTTTTTTCCTCCCCCCCAAATAACAGCCATGAGGGTAAAACGCATTTGGTTAACGGTTAAATCAGCTCATACTGTTTGAGGTCCAAACAAATGTCTGCAGTGGTCAAAACAAACAGTAGCCTCTGGGCAATCACACAATCACGGCAGCAAGGTGGCTCAACGTCCTGGCGCCTTTGTTTTAAAGTTTACACTCTGGAACGTAAAGCTCTTATTCGATTAGATCATAGTTTTATTTCTCTCTCTCCCTGTGTGTGTGTGTGTGTGTGTGTGTGTGTGTGTGTGTGTGTGTGTGTGTGTGTGTGTGTGTGTGTGTGTTCGATCGAGAAAAAATCTGAAATAACTGTTGCTAATGACCTTAAATCTACCGACGCGTCTGCTGACGACAGTGAAAAAAAGACGCTCTGTGGAATTTTTTTAAACTTAGGTGATGAAACCCGACCTTTACTTTAATGTAATCTGTTTTATTTTTATGCACGCTTTTTCCGTTCCGTCTCTGTTTTCGTTTGGAAAAACTTAACTCATCCATATTTTTAACTGCATTGAAATTTGATCATAATAATCATTTTAAAACATCAACAAGAAACTGGAATACATATTTGAAGAGAAGTAATATTTATTTGTAAACGATAGAAGTTTAAATTTGACAAGAAAATGTGCAAAATAGACCAAAGATACCAGCTTGGTAATGGAAGCGATTATTAAATCAGACAGTGGAAGAACTGTTTTGCCAGCATCGCTGTAGCTGACAACAAAATCCTACGTCTGTTCTTTTGGAGAAGCGCAGATTTGCATCTGTTTCTTTATGGCTCTGCCAATCCTGTTATTGAAGTGTGACTGCTAATATTTTGGGCTTAAGACACAGACAATTTTATTATTATTGTTATTATTATTATTATTATCGCGCTTACATGTCATGTATTTTAAAGTCCACAGCTTATCTCTGGTTTTGTGAGCATGTAACATTCTGCAGCAGGCTGGTCTCGTTAGTGTTGCTCGTTTTCGCACTGCAAAAAGTCGCCCGTTAAACGTTTTTTTCCCTTATAAAATAAATAAAAAACACCATCTGTCGTTGTTAAATATAGGTTCAATGCACGTTTAACAAGCTAAATGAGAGTCAGAGTCGATCTTGATCCGAAAAATGTCCTCAAGGTGGATGGCAGAAGGAGGAAAAGTCGAAAATGCCGGATGTCTAAAAACGACTTCCTAGGAATGAGCAAATGATTGCTCTGAAGTCAGATTAGATTGACTCCATGGTGCCGCGTCAGTTCATTTCAGCCCGTGCTGTGTCTCCTTGTGTCTCCTCAAATCCACCTTTCTCTGGAAACCTTTGCCGCAGAGGTCGCAGCCGAAAGGTTTGTATCCGGTGTGTTTCCTGCTGTGCGTAATGAGGTTGGAGCTCTGGCTGAACGCCTTCCCGCACACCTGGCACTTGTGTGGCTTTTCACCTGAAAGAGAAAAAAAAATAAAAATACATTTGATTTAGGGTTTAAAAAATATATATATAATAAAAATAAATGAGAGCTATACATTTTGCTGCTTAAAAATTGGATTTTGCGCACAGATCTTTTACCTCGGTTACAGAACAATCAAAACAACAAATGTAGTTTCGTCCCTTTCTTCGCTCACCTGTGTGGATGAAGGTGTGTTTCTTCATGTCCGACTTCTGATGGAACCTTTTGCCGCAGTACTGGCATGGGTACGGCCGCGTGTCGGAGTGGATAAGCAGGTGAGTCGACAGAGTTGACGACCGCTTGAAACTTTTACCGCATATTTTGCAGTCGAAACTTCTTTCCTGAAACGTGAGCAGAGGCCTGTTTTAGTCACATTTTCGAGTCAGCGCATCCACGCTTGACAGGAAGGCGGGTTGAAAGTAAGATGTGAATCCAAAAAAAGAAAAGGGTGCAAACTGCATCTTGTGGTTTGAGGTGTGAAGATACCTGAGAGTGCACGGCCTTGTGTTGTTCCAGGCTCACTGCGTGTCCGAAAGTTTTGCCGCAGATTTCGCACGCAAATGGCCGGGTGCCGCTGTGTGATCTGCGGACGTGCACTTCTAAACCGTGGGGAGTGGAAAACACCTGAGAACAACAATGAATTGACGATAAGAACGTTTTAAAATTTGCAATAAACCATCGAAGAAAAAAAAAATTCGATTCTGTGTAACTGGAGAGTCAATTGTTTGTGTTTTGTTCCACCTATAGGGAGGTCAGAGGTCAGCCAAAAGACAGCAGCTGCAGTGAGTCTTTGCTTGGGGCCAAGTTGAGCGGAAATCAAATTATCCCAAGTTTTTAAATTATTGGTGTTTTCTTACAAACATGCATGCATTTTATAGAAGACACTATATTAGACTGGGCTATATGAAATCACAGCTCTCTTCGTTGCTCTCTGTCCTCACCTTACTGCACTTGACGCACTTGTAAGCCCCATTGATGATGAGGCTAGAGCACAGCAGATCAGACTGCGCGTTCACCCCGTGGGTTTTTCCGTGCAGGCCTGCCTCAGGAAACAGCAGAGCAGCAGCGTGCCTCCTGTAGTTACCATAGGTCTCCTCTCCCAGAGCTCGGTCTGCATACAGGGCAGGATGGGTGCTTCTGTCTCCGTAGAAGCCCATCGCAGCCGGGCCTCTTGCTACCTCCATTCCCGTATGGAGGCTTGGCTGCACCAGCTCCGGCCTGGGATAGCTGCTGCTCCAGGCGTATGGCCGGAATGGAACGGTGAAGGGCTGAGTCTCGTCCACCAGGGGAGAAAGAGATTTCTCCGAATCAGCTGGAGAGGGGAACAGATAAAAATTTAATGAAAGCAGTGAAGTGACCGAAGAGGAGCACTTCCAGGGATCTACGGGGCCTCAGAGGAATCATTGAGGGGAAAACTTATTTCAGATTCCCCAAGTGATGATTTGTGGTTGAGTCCGATTAAAATGAAATTAGATTAGATGATATCTGCTCTGATTTATTATAAAAACTAAAAACGTATTTGTGTGAAGAATAACTTCAATAGATCCTTTAAAACAATCTCAGAAAATGATTAAAACAGCAAAATATGTAAACTATCACAAAGGCCTGTTTTGCTTATTTAGTTTGCCGAAACGAACATTGTATTGTATGTTTTCTAAACCATGGTGGAAAAAATACAAATCAAAGTCTGCATTGGATCTGTGCGCCCTGGACGCTTTACAGTTTCCGCTCTGGGTCTTTCATGTGTACATGAAATGTAATCTATTGCAGGATCATCAGTATGTGTGAATGTATGTGTGTGTCTTTGTCTACCTGGCGAGGCGGAGGGAGATGGAGGCCTCCAGAAGTCCTCATAGTCCGGGGAGCGAGGGCACAGGCTGTCGGCACAGCTCAGCGGAGACTTGGGGGAGAAATCTGCTGCGTCGCCCAGGTGGGAGTCCGGAGACAGGTCGTACCTGTCCACCGACATATCCGTGTCTTCTTCTGGGAGTTTATCTCCCTCTGAGAAGCACAAAACAAATGACAGTCAGCATCGTAATGACCGGTGACTCAATTAAAGCCATTCTTATGTTGTTTTTAAAGGGCTGATAAATGACGTCGATGGTCGCCAGTTCGGTAATTTGTCAAAACAAAACTGGATTTTTGGTGGACAAAATTAGTCAGAGATAACGTCAATTTTTCTTGTGGTAATAGTGTTAATATATGATATGTTATAACAATAAAAATAGTGTTGTAATATGTAATAAAACTGTGAATAACCCGAGATATTTAGATACATGCATTTAACCAAAAGAACAGTTTCAGAATTGAATACAAAACACTACAATGACTCTTAACTGTAAAGTGCTTTTCTTTTAAAGCATTATTCATCTTACAAATTATTGGCAAGTGTTGCGATCAAAAATGTATTTTACTTTTGAAAAATACCCCTCATCCCGTCAGATTATATCAATATCAAATACAGCATTGAAAGTGTCATCTGACAAAGAGGGGAATATTGAAGAAAAGCCTCCTTTTGCATACCCGAGCATATGTGCGCCAGTATCGTGTCCAGCTTGTTGTAGTCATCCTCAAAACTTCGGGGTTGGTGATAACTGTGCGCCTTCTTACTCTTCACCAAGAAGGAGCGGGGCATCTCTGAAGCGGAACAGAACAAATCAGTGACAATAATCCAGCTGTAGAGAGCAGTCCTCCTGCGCCCGAGGCCGCTCGCTCCAAGATTTGACATCTACTGGTGTGGTGATGTTGCTCCCAAGTGCTTTAAGAGGTTTCAACCTGACAAGGGAGCATGCGCGGACTGTCGGTCACGCCTGCCAGGTGTCGTCGGACAGGTGTCGAGGCTGCTCGCCACAGCTCAGTGCGCTGTAAAAAATATCCGCCTGCAGTGTTTTAGTCAGAGCAGGCTGTAGGAAAACTGTCTGCAGCGGGGGCGACGTCGTCTTGCATCTTTAGAGCAAACGGACTCATTTCAGAACCCGACAGTGGTTTCCTTTCTTACAAGAAACGCAGGTGGAATGAAGAAGAGAAAAGTTTATTTATTGTTTAAAAGTAGGCCTACAACTTGGGACGAGAAGTCTATGAGACACTTTTTGCAGTGTTTAACTTTTCCACAGCTTGGGGCTGCCGAAGTTCTCGCAGACTGCAGCTCGTGTCTCCCATGGAGCCCGGGGCAGTCGGGAGAGGTGATACAGGCTTTATCGGCGCCTTTCTCAATCTTTAAAGGGGGCAGGGGGAGAGGAAACGGGGAGACACACCCCAGGGTGCCTTGCTGGGGAGCTTGAAGTAGCACGTCGTGGTAAAATAAAGGGGTGGGAGAAACTTTGAACCGGCGTGGTAGTCTTATTATTCTTATAGGCTGCAATTAAAATTTGACCAAACGCTGCGGGTTTGCCAAGAGTGTCTCCGGTTGAGTTCAGCCAATAAAACGCTAGAGGAAAAATAATTCATTGAGAATAAATCCTCACATAAAAACGCACCGCGGTGTCTCTCTGATCAAAACTCACTGCCGGCTCCACACAGGACAAAGTGTTGTCCCGGTCTGGTGGTCACTTGAGCCCATAAACTGTTATTATGTGACAGACACTCTCCGTCCTAACGCCTGCGGTGACCGTTTCACATTACCCCGAGAGGAAGAAGCAAATAACGGAGACAGTTTGTTTTCTGTTCGCACAGGTCGAAGATTAGAGCGTCATTACGCGCTGATCAATAAGACGGAGTCGTGCGTCCTGGTGCCTTTCATCCACTGCAGGTGTAATAAAACAGTTTTGAGACGGCATTGAAGTGAAAGTGTGATCAAAAACCTGCATTCGTTTGCAGTAAATACAGGTGGCTATCAGGCCATGTTTGCGCTTTAAAGTTTTATTGTTCGTGGCTTGAGACGCTTGAATTGCCACGGAGCCGAAATTCACACATGCGCATTTTGGATGACTTTTCATTTCATTGCGTTTCTTGACTTATTATTTTAATATATCACCAGGTAACCGTTAGTAAATCCGCTCCGGTCAAATCCTCCACGCATGTAAAGGTGTGAAGTTTCCTCCAAATCAGACAACTGGACGCCCAAAAAGGTTTCAGACCGTTTACACGGCTTTGGCACAAACATGTCAGTGAATGCATTTATAATGTCGGCTACATGCAAACCGTTATCAGTAAATAAAGGACAGGAAATTAAAGGACCACATGTTCCAGCTCGATTAGACGCATCACGGCATCCGGATACAGTTTTTTGGAGAAGATATGAAGCTCGAACCGATAAAAGCAGCTGCAGCAGGGCCTGCTGCCCGATAGGCAGACGGTTTCTTAACTGTAGCATCATGCCATCACAATTAAATACACGCACATAATAATAATAATAATAATATTAATGATATTAATAATATAAATACATTTAGGGATTTGATGTCGCTTTTACGCAGGATGTTAGAACTTCGCGGTTTGAAACTAGATTTGATTTGATATGCGGTTGTTTATAACCGCACAATTAATTAACTGCGTCATTATTTCTGCAGTATTCAAATATTTTCTTCTCTCCGTTGAAATTCAGCTTTTAAAACGCCTCTACATGTGAACTCACCAAATGATTCACGCCTCCCACACTGCGCCACTGTATCGCGCTCTCCTTATAGTAAACATTTCAGGACGCACGTTTAAATCTGCTCGAATATTTGCAAAGGTCAATCAAAGAAAAAGAAATCAATAAAATACATAAAATCAGCTGTATTCACACACCCGTGTCTGCGCAGGAGTACTGCTGTTTAGGTTGTGCTAAACTCGGGTATTATTAATAATAAAGCCGAATTTTGAGATTAAAATAGAATTGATGTGGCTGTAACATCTGGCACCCGCTATAGAAATAAGCGACCTTCCACTGCGCCACGTTAAAAAAAATAAAATAATCGCCAACCTTACTAGTCAACGCAAGTTCTAAAAATCTGAGCTTACATCACTAACAGACTGGCCTCACTGTCCAACACAAACTCATCATCAGCATTTTGTGGGGGAAAAAGCCAAAAAACCAAACACAAACCTGGTAAATGTTTCAGTGCCCGAAGAGAGATGCTCTTTTTAAAATGTGGTTTTCTGCATGAAATGATTAGTAGTTGAGGCTCAACTTTGAAAACCGCGAGAAAAATCACTTCCTGAAACAGTCAATCTAAGCTAAGAATCTTCAGAGGAAGGCAGCGCTGAGACTAAACATCCCACATGTGCTGTTCAGCCTGCACGAGGAGACTCTGGTTAGAGGTTTGCAGCCACCATTACAAGACAGACCAGGCCAGGAGTTTATCAAACAATTTTATTGTGAATTCATCCCTTTCGCTCTCTCTCTCTCACACACACACACACACACACACGCACATACATACATATATATAATATATATAACAATCTCATTTAGTTTGCAGAGTGTGCTTGACTGCATCATAGTGTGTCCATACTGCACTGCAGACTCAAAAAAAGTGCCATTAGGTGTTCCTCTTCTATTCCATCAGCAAAGAGACATTAACATCATCATCACCTGCTCAAAGTCAGAATCTTTGCTGGTTCCTGGAGACTGCGGCTGCCTCGATTCATACAGAAGTTAGTGTTCAGACATTCAGAGAAATTCACTTTTACACATCCAGGTCATGAAATGGAGTGGCTTGTAGATCCAGAACATAGGCCTCGCTTTGGTAACACTTTGCCGGTCCCGATTAGTTTCCATGTTGTGCTGTTGAGTGTTGCTTTATCTCGGCTTCATCTCCTGACCAAAGTTCTCTCAGACTGTCATCAATTCCGTGCAAATTAGTGACACTCAGAACATATGAGAGGCATCATTCAGCTTTGAGTCATCGGTAGATGCATTATGCACTGAAGTGATTCGCCTTTTACCTCATCGTGAAAGTGAGATCGTGATGCTTTCAGAGAACTTTGTAAAACAGCAACAGTAGCTAAGAAATAAACCTGTCCCCATCTGCACTTATTAACATGCTAACTGCTTTAAGAACGGAGAGTTCAAAAGCATCTAAAGAGGGGTGACTAGTTATTCTACCAGGAATTCACCTCCCTCGTCTCAAAAGCAGGATTTGTTATTTGTGTTAAACTACATTATATGTCCCTTTACTCTCAAATGTACAGCATATTCTAAACACCAGATATGCATTTTCAAGTTCAAAAGGAAGTGGGGGGAAACAAACAACATGATACACATTTACATATCTACATGTACGCAATGTCACTTTGACCTTGAAAGGCATGCGGCACATGCTAAGGCCAAAGAAAGTCATCAAGTCGTCGCTGACTGATACAAGCGAGTTTGATACCAGGCTCTGATGAAGCTCTTCAAGACATTAGAAATATAGATATTTATACATGCGCACGCACAGCACTCATACAAATCTGCCTCTGCATGATGGACACTTAGTAGTAACGGCATCAATGCATTTCTGATGTTCATTTATAAAAAGCTTTAAAATATAAAAACATGAAGTGTGTAATATAGAGTAAAACGTTTTTATTGCACAGTCTCTTTTTCTGTGTTGTACCTAGAAGAAGCGGTCAGGAGTGATAGACTGAGATCTCCCTTCTCCTCCTCTTTGTCAGGTCTCTGTGGCCCAGTAGAGTCTGAGACGCTCCACGTGATTTGAGCCTCTACTGAGGTTCAGGCTGAGCTTCTGGCTTTACTCACAAAACCCCCCCAAAACAACAACAAGAAAAAAACTGCAAAAGGAAGGTAAAGAAAACTAAATCCACGTGTGATTCTCAGGATATCAAATGATGATGATGCATTTCATTCTTCAAGTTCAGGAGTCTCCTCTGAAATGGTTTGCTGGATGACCCTCTCTTCCACAGTTAGTGCTGACAGCCTCCGTCTCCACTTCAGCAGCCGGCGGGCGCCGCTCACACGGAGGTGGTCTTGTGGCTGCTGCTCTGAGGAACAGAGATCCGCAGGGCCTCTCCGTCCTCCTCCTCCTCATCGCTGTCGGTGTCCTCGAGTTTGGGGTGTAGTTTGATACGGCTCCTCTGCTGGGGGGAGACCTTGACCCCATCGTCGTCCGAAGACTGGTAAGACTCATCATCCGCCCTGTAGTGGTTGACAATATGGATCCCATCAAAAGTGGGCTGATTGGCCAAGCGCCCCCTCTGTCCTTTTAAGCAGCGAATCTGTGAAAGCAAACAGTGAGAGTCAGGAGCCACACAATCTCCTACAGATCAGACTTCTGTGCCTGAAGGCAGCTGCATGAACACCAAACCTCTTGAAAAAATTACAGCTAACATATTACGCTTTTCTTTATTTTCTGTCATAAATACACTGTTACAGTGGTGGATGCACACATTAAATATAGCCAAAGTTTCAAAAAATGAGGTCAGCAAACATGCAAGTTATCCCAGTAAGCCAAAAGCTCCAGACTCTACACACCTGGTTTGTGACCAGGGGGCTCTACAGGATGTCAGAGACGGTGGATATCCTGACATTGTCACATGTGTGAGCACGCTCAGAAGAAAACTGGCTTAAAGGAATCTCAAACTGCTTGTTACAGATGCTATATGACCTGAGGTGCTGTGCTAAGGCCTGGATCACCTCCCTGAGATCCTCTGCTCCAATATCGTCGTGGACCAGCTCTATTTTTGCTTCACTGTCTTGTGTCTCTGAAGCAGGTTTAAGTGTGAACGATTAAAATGGGTATAGTTGTATAGACAGCTCACTAATTTATTTATTTTTTTCGGTTGCTGTTATTGTACTCAGAAGGAAAGAGGGAGGAAGAAAGTCTTGGTCAAACCTTTTAGCCAGGTGCAGGAAATATAGAGAGCGGATATCTAGTTCAGCACTTCCTGTCCCGGATTGAATTTCAACAAATGTGTTTCCTGTGGCCAGTTTTACTTAATAGTAGTGCGACTTATCAGAAAGTTTACAGAATCATTTTTCCCTTTGATTCTACAGAGTGATATGTTTTAATGCAGCTGAATTCACAACATAATTATATCCACATTTTTTCTGTTAGTGTCAAAGTAGCGCTGCTACAGAAGAAAAAAAAGCAGCCAAGCTGTGACGCTAATGTTTAAAATGAATAACGACAGAGAAATATGACTCTTGCACGGCTTCCTGGACAACCTGTGACTGCTAGCAACTCAGTGAGATAACAAAAACTTGACACACGTGATATGAACAAACTGTCAGTGGGAGCTGGTGACATTTTACCAGAAACACTGAAACAAATAAGATGAGATGTCCTCTACAAATTCAACATGCAGGCACCAGTTCAACCAAAAATAAAAACAAAAGGGAACAACGCAATAAAATCAGAGCCATACTACACACCAAGAGTATACAACTGGTGAGTGTCCTGTTTGTATAATTAGTAGACATGAAATAAATATTTTTACAGCACTCACACGGAGGAAGACAAGTTGTCTCTTTTAAATTTGTAGTAAAAGCTTTTATTCACACATCTCAATATAAAATTATATAGAGGTTTAGAAATGTCACCGTCCAATTCACAAAGCTTATATGCTGTCTTTGCTTCAATCTTTGATGAGTTTATTGAATGTGTGCACGAATGTGCTTTATAATCTCAACACTTAAAGTCAATGTGTAGTATGGATTTGGGACAAAGAGTCATATAATTATGTTCCATTTAAGACCGCATGGTAGCAGAAAGCACCTTAAACCACGTTAACAGTTTAAGGTGCTTCCAAGAGCTTCAAGGCAAAGGAAAAGTGTCTGAGACTGGAGGATTTGTTTTCTCTCGGAAAACAAAATACCTGGTAAGGAACTTTTTGCGTTGACTGTATATAAAAGATGGCTATAGCCAATCTGGCTTTCATCCATAAATTTTTTAGACTTGCATTGCTGCACTTTTTTTTAAAAGTCAGAAATATATTTAGATGATAGAGAGCGATGCTATAAGCTAATGCTATCCAGGTTAGTTAGAAATAGGGCTGCCACGATTAGTCGACTAGTCACGATTACGTCAACTATTAAAATCGTCGACGACTGATTTAATAGTCGAAGCGTCGTTTGAAGCTTTGTTAGATCCCAAAAGACGCAGCAATAAGTAGTAGGATTTAAGAGTGTAATAACGGACTGAAACAGAAGATGGCAGCACTGCATGTACAAGGATGCCAGCTGCCGTTAAACCCCAAAGAAGAAGAAGAAGCAGTGTCCCAGAATTCATAGTGCGGCCCTGCTCAGTTTCCAACAATGCCGGCTGCTAGTTAGTTTTAATATTACTCTTATTATTCTTTCTGGGTCACAAAATAAACGTTTAACATATTTTCAGGCGAGAATGTAGCTGTGTAAACCTCAAATGTCTGCTCAGTTTATCAAGACGTTTTCGGAGACGTCTGTTACCCACCAGCTCGATAGCTAGCCGGGGGCAAGGCTCACTAGAGCCTTTAGATAGCAAGGACCAGACGGCTGAGTTTATTAAACTTCACCCAAACAATCTGCAAATGTCATTAAAATTTAATAAACTATCATCTTGTTGTTATTTTTAGTTAGCACATACCTTAAAACACTTAAAGCTGTAAGCTAATGATAGTTATATAAGAGCAGATGCATGCTGGTGCAATAAGCTGTACGTTTTACGTCCAATGGATGCATGATCTGATTAGTCGACTAATCGCAAAAATAATCGTTTTATTGTTTTTAATGAAGTGCTGTCCGAGGATCAAAGATCACAACATCCAGTTCTTGGCCTTTTCTGCACACAGAGATTTCTCTAGACTCTCTGACATTACGTACTTTAGATGATGAGATAGTTAAAGCAATCAAAAGCATACGCTATTTTGAAACTGTTGCTGAATTTGTAGACTCCGTTTATAAACCTTGCCACTCTAAGATGCTCTTTTTATACTAATTCACGTTACTGACCTTAATTAACCTAATTAGTTCCAAGATATTCTTTTGTTTCTCCTGTCCCAACTTTTCTCTTACATCCAATTCAAAATCAGCTAATACCGGTAATTTTCATGTCTCAGTTGAGATTTGCAAATCACTGCATTCTGTTTTTATTCACACTTTGCAGAGTCCCAACTATTTTGGAATTGGGTTTGTATTTTCTCCGATTATCTTTCAGCTATAAGTTCAAAAAGGGCCTACATATGCACTAATTTTAAATTTTATTTTGAACAGTGGATTTTCAGTTAACGTCCCCACCTCCAGTTTACAGCCATGCACGGCCGCTTTCTTGAGCTTTACCTTGAAGCACTTGGGATGGTCTCCTACACCATGAATTAACCAGACTCAAAGAGGGGTTGGGTAAAGATCAACACATGGTCAGGCTTGAAAAGCTGGGGGTGTTACACAGAACATCTGAAAACACTCACCTGGGTTGGCCTGCCATGCAACAGACAGTCATGTAGAAAGAGATGCATTCAGAGGCCAGTTTAGAGCACAGTACATAAAAACGATAACAACAACCCAAAACCCGAACAACCCTACATTTACCTGGGTCTCTCTAAACTTGGCACACTGCCTTCCTGTTGCTGTCATGTGAAAGGAAACGGTGATCTAATCAACATCTGAGATGCTGCACATAAAATTTCAAGCTGTATGATGTTAATTGAAACTGTGCAGGAGGTGCATGACGGGACTTAAACCAGTTTCAGTTTTGCTCATTGTGCATGCTTAAAATAATAAGAATCATTGTCGGGCAATCTAAAACTCAAAGACAACTGGCAGGGAAGGGAAACGACTGAGACAGCACTCTTTAAAACACCTTTTCTCAAACACATGACATAGGTCAACAAGCTTGACAGGACCAATAATAATGAATAAAGGTGACTAAGACTGTGGGGAATGTGTCACTTCTGACGTCATATGTGACATTTTACTCATTCTTAGATATCAATCATTTGAATGTGCATCCATCTTTGCATCGTGCCTCAATGTTCTGCCATATAAACCTCTGTAAGTCATGTTTGTGAATACATCTCTAAGAGGTTCGCAACTTCAGCACCACACAGGAAGTCTCTGGGTGTAGTTAACACTTCAACTAATCTGTTCAAGTCAAAGTAAAACCATATCTGAGGGATTGTTGTGAAAATTCGATCAAAGCATTTACACCAACAACAAAAAAATGGTAGTGTGACTGAGGTGAACATGTAGCTTGTTTTTAGGAGTCTCACCTCATGTTGTAGCTCTGCTATCTGGTCTTTGAGGTCGCGGATGTACTGGCTCGAATCTGTGTGGTTCAGCTGGCCTTGGACCTTTCCTTCTTCTTTCTGTTGGGACAAAATACACAACTTTCAAACATGTTCCACAGCTTTTGGAAAAAAAAGGATTCTGTTAATCATCTACAGGGTCAAAATATTTTAGATTTCTGGCATATTATACATACACTTAAATAAAAAAGGGTCTGTGGAAATTATACTTATGTCTTCTTGTTTATGGTTGAAAACTCCTGCACAGGCAGGAGAAATAACGGCAGCTTCGAGAGCCCCGCTGCAAAAAAAAAGCGGCATCGCGCGGTACCCTGCATGTATGGCGGGCGAACAAGGTGACAGATGTCTGGTGAAACACAAAACAGTGTCATTTGTGCTTGATTTCCTCCTGGGGCCCTGGGGATGAGGCTGGTTGTTGCCTCTAACAGTTAAACAGCCCATGCGATGTTTACCTTCCTAAGTGAAGACATCTGCAGGCACTGGAGACAAACACATATTCTATTTCAAACCTCAATCACACCCCTGAACCTGCCAGTTCCACACTGAGATAAGTTCAAAACACAGGCAGCAGCACTGAGGCAAAAAAAGGGAAGACGCGCGCTCGGTAAGGGGTGGGGTGTCGAGGTAAAGCGGTGACACCGAGTCTTCACCACCTGAACAACACCCCAAAATACAGATAGGGTTTTAGATTCCTGTGGTGAGGTGGGGTTCAATATGGCGGGTCCCAATAGGCCTTTTTTTTTTTTTTCACATGGAGAGGTCTAAACAAGAGAGATTATTCCAAGAACCTGTTGTTTTTGAGGTTTTGCTGCTCCAAAACACTGCAACGACAAGGACAGGCAGTTAATAGAGACTTCCTGGTGTTCAGCTGTGTGAATCGCCAGGTGTCAGGCTGTGGCCAGGGACAGCAAACGTCTCACAGAAACATCTTACCATTGTATCTTCAAGTCCCAGTGTGTTGTGGTTTTGTTTAGTTCAAATAGTGCAGTGTAGGGGCTTTCTGCGTTCTAAAAAGTACACTACTAAATTTGTTCAGTCTCCTGGCAGATCTGAACTGAGAATCAGATAATCTGAGATCATCCTTTAATCATCCGCCCATTTCATCACATCCTGGGCAAGTGGACAAAATCACAGCTCATAAAAAAAGTGCACATGAAATGCCGATTGCATGCGACGTTTCAGTTGGCTTTACGCGCATCTCCAACATTGTGGTAATGACGTAAAGGTTATTTTGAATCTGCAAAGACGTCTATGAAAGATGTGTGAAAATTAAGTGCTAAAATATTTTTTGTTCCTCTATCAAGTTTAACAGAATTTAGCCTTCTGCTGAAATAAGACAAAACTGTGACTAGGATAAATATATGGCCACTGCAATGATACTCATCATACAGATTTGTTTCCAGCATTAGCGTGACACGTATGCAGTACACATCTGAGAAGTCAGGGTTTTTTTTTTTGGTTTTTTTTAAACACACTAAAACTTTTAGTATAAATCTCTGAGTATGTCATAGAAACCTCAAAATAAACCATGCATGTCACCTTTGGCAGAGTTGCTGCTTCAAGATGAAAAACCACTTCCTTTAAAGCCCAAAGACAACAGACGCCATGGTTGCGATAGTGAAAGAGTCCTACACACAAGCCCTTCTAGACATCTTGGTTTCACTGAAATGTGTTTTCAGTGAAACACTGTATATTATCATTATTGTTCATCTCTTCGTTAAATCTCTGCAGCATTTTCTGACTTGATACTCAAGCATTTGATCTTCAAAGTAATGTCCTACATCGATATTTGCTACAGCTCTAAGTACTAAGAGTCGCAACATTAATCTGATTCCAGTCTGACCTCTTGTACGAAAACCGAGGTGCAAACTGTCACCAACATGTGTCACCATCTCTGACGACAAAGCTATGAAACTTCTGCTCTTTTTTACCTTTTCTTCTAAATCAAACCAAAATTTTACCCACAGGGTATATAGAGACGGTAACCAAACCACAGACCAAGAAGCCCAAAAGGCACAGTGATTTCATACTGTGGCACTGACAAAAAACAAAACAACGAAAAAATCTGCAATTTGAACTCTAGACATAATTTAAAAAAGAAAGCGGTAAAGGTCTAAAAATGCGCGACCCTTGTTGCTAACGTATTTGAGTCAGAGTTCATTAGGCAGATTAAGAAAGCACGAGGGCGGCAGCAGTAAAATTTTTGGTGTTGCGTGTTTTTGCTCCATCACTTAGTAACCAAACCTCAGACCACACTCTGCTTCTGAAGGGGAAGAGGGGGAGGTTTTTTGTAGGTGTCAAACTTATAAATAGCATGGCCCTCCAGCTAAGATGATCAAAAACACCCTAAAACTCATGAATACAGAGGTTATTTAAAAAGCACTAAGTCACAACAGTTTCCATCAGGACTCATCGGATAACCAAAGTTTCCAATTTGACACTGAAAGGAAATTATATTTACCATAAATCCATAAAACATAGGAAGTATAATCATCAAACAGAACCAGAGAAATGCATTAACTGACTAATTCACTCAGTGTAGAAAATTATTTGTTACAGTGCTTCAGTATTACTCACGCTGCATGCGTGATTGCCAGTTAACGTGACAACACTAAACTTTTCATCTACCCACATATCTGCAAATCCAGAAGATCTTTCTTTTGGTAGTCTATTTAAGTATCACCACAAGGTCGACGGCCAAGTGAGTGAAAAGCAGTCCTTGCAGCACTTCACAGAAACATTTTGTGGTGAGAGTGACTCCACTGTAGGAAGGAGTTCAGACAAAACGTGAGACTCTACAGCTTTGGTTGTCTCTGCTTATGTTACGCGTTGAAAATCAAGCTGTGCTGTGCTTGGGATCACTGTCCTGTTGCATGATCTAAGCTTTAGCTGGTGGACAGATGGCCTCAAATTTGACTCTGAAATACTTTGGTATACAAAGGAACTCACATGGTTGGTCCCCAGGCATGGCTGCAAAACAAGCCAGAATCGTCACCTCTCCACCGCCGTGCTGACAGTTGGTACGAGGTGTTTGTGCTGATATGCCGTGTCTGGTTATTGCAAAAATGTTGCTGTGCAATTTGGCCAAACATCTCCAAGTCTGCTGTGCTGCCACATTCTTTTAAGAGAGAAGAGGCTTTGTCCTGTCGTCCAGTCTTATTCTAATCATACTGTCATTATTTTTTATATTTAACATGTTCACCGAGTTCTGTAGAGTCACAGATGCTGAGTTCTTCAATCTCTCTCAGTTGTGCATCAAGCACATTTGATTGATTGATTGATTTGCTACTAGTGGAACTAGTAAGGGTGTATTTTTCTTTTTCCACACAGCTGTATGCAGAACTGGGAAAACTCTTTTTCACATGACTGTTTAATCCCAAGTAACCCAAGTCCTCCACTGATTGTTAGGCTACGTCCACACTAATGTGTTTTCGTTTGAAACTGCATCGTTTTCTTTCCATTTTGGCCTGTTTTGAAAACGCTCTCGAAAACAAATACATTTGAAGACAGTGCGTTTGCGTTGCAGTGTGGACAGAGAAAACGCAGACTTTCTAAAACGATGACGCATTTTAGTCATGTGATGCAGTCATGTGACCAATTAGCCAATTAAACTAAGATAGCGGAGGGCATTATACAGCAGTTGTTTTGTTTGCTCTCAATTTTGACAGCCCTATTAAAGATTAATATCAGTTTGTACATGCTCCAGATAGCTTTTCTTCAAATTCTTTAATTCTCACTCGCTTTTGTAACGTTGTACTTTCGTGTTACTCGCAGCAACAACTCCACCTCATTGTTAGTCCATTTAAAAAACTTGGTGCTTTTCCTCGACCTTTTGCCGCGACGTTTCAACGAACCGGAAAGTAAATAAACGGCAGACAGAAATGAGCAGGCTGAATCTTCTTGTGCTTCACGCATGCGCAGTATTAGAACGTAAGCGTAGAGACAAAAGTGGATGAAAGAGAGGCAAACTTGCAGCTCCACACATATAAGTATAACGCAACATAGACTATATCGATATAAATGATATGGTCATAGCTTATATCTTGTATAAAAGTATATCAATATATTTAAAAACTGGATATATCGCCCAGTCTTAATGCATTAGTATTTGCTTCTTGTCAACACAAAGTTCTTTATTTGCAGCACATTTCTACAACAAAGATAAGTTACCATATTTTTTGGGCCATAAGGCACATTTAACGAAACCAAATAGTCAGATAAGTCACGCTTTACTCAACTAATTCTTCTTGCTTCCTCCACTTCTGTACAATTGATTCATTAATCTTGAATTCTCTCGCAGCTGCTCTATTCCCGTGTTCTACTGCTGACTGATAGAGTTGGAAATCTGCTTCATAAGCATGTCTCTTAACAGTTTCCATTTTGGGGTCTGTATACACAATATGGTAGTAATATGTTGAAGTAGGGCTGCTCGATTATGGCAAAAATGATAATCACGATTATTTTCACTGAAATTGAGATCTCGATTATTTGACGATATTTATTTAACAATAACAATGTATTGAATAATGACTTTAAAGATTGCCAAAAAATAATATAAAATAGTGTGCAAATACTGATAACAGTGCAAATGTTTGCAAATAAAAAAATAAATGAAAAATGTAAACATCTATGTTTAGTGAACTTTGCAGTGTTGCTCTGTGGTGCAGCTACGACACTGCAGCAAAGTTTACACACTATGTCTACTTGATCCACGTCTGACTCCACGAACCCATAATGTTTCCACACCACTGAAGGTTTTTTTTTACCTCTCTTTTCAACCAACGGCAGTCACTCTCCTCTCCAAATAACTTCTGCTTAGCTTTCCGAGCTTCCCTCGGGTCCTCTTAATCATCGGTCCCCAACCCCTGGGCCTCGGACCGGTACCGGTCCGTGAGTCGATTGGTACCGGGCCGCGAGAGTTGAGGCTCAGGTGTGAAATGTATAGTTTTCAGGGTTTTTATCGGTTTTCAGCGTTATTTTGTTATCGTTTTTATCGTTCACTCGGTTTTCCTGGGTCTTTTCACGTGTGTTATGAATAAATCTTCTTTGGTACCAGTACT